TTTCAATGTCATCAGCCGCTTAAGAAGCTTCATTGGTATCATAAATGTACTGACCGGTGAAGCCCGGTTCATCCACGTAATACATGTTCCAGTCAGTGAAGATATTGGCATTACCTGAGATGGCTACTTGGATGGCTGAAAATAAAGACACAATAATTCATCTATCACCTGGTAAAAATTTTTTTTTCATTTGTCCTGAAATTTATTTATTTAATTCTAATTAATAATGATTGTGTCGATTGCTATCTAATACTAGCATTCCGATACCTTCACTTCGAAATGCTTTCTGATATTTAAACAAGTGTGACTTTACCTCTGCACCCAATATCAAAATTATGGAACAACAGATACCGAGATTTGTCTCTTATTTTGTTTCGTTATCACCCCCCCGCTTTCTTACCATGTTAAAGTTACTGAAAAAGTATGCAGATTTTTTGTTTAGTCACTCGTCAACGGACAAGAGACAGATTCTTTATATGGTATAGGTAAAATTGGGATTGGCTGAGACTTAAGAGAAATAAATTCATGAGGAAAGATGCGGAACAAATATAGATATAGATCAAGAGATATATCAAGTTTAGAAAATTAACGTTTTGGGTAGATGTTATAAAGAAGGATTGGGTTTGACAATAAGATCCATGACACGGTGGCAAAGGCAATACAATACTAAGATATAGATCAGACGGAAACGGCATAATAATATTTTAAGCATTCACGTGTTTTATGGTCTTAAAAATTTATTTCCCCTTTTTTTTAACCCCCCCCCCCCCGAGGATTTAGGTAATGTACCCTAGTTTGTAGAGAGAAAGTTATTTTGTTTTTATTGAAGGAAATGATGTATCATTTTGTTTACTGGAGTTAATAAACGAGTTTGAACAGCAAATTCATGATATTTGGACCCAACTATATACTGTTTAATGAAAGTTTCCTTGATCTTGGTGGGCATTCAATTAAGTGACGATATTAATTTTTTGGATTTTTATGATGTTAAAGTGCCGACTTGAAATTGTCTTTACGATGTGGTTAATAATGGTGAAACTTGGATATATCATTTGAATTATTTACATTTTCGGAATTTAATTGTGTCATTATAGGTTCTTTGGGTTTATCTTTATTTAAATCCTAGAGTAACGAATGTGCTTGAAATTACATCAAATCCTTCAATTTTGTTAGTTCAACCGTCTACAGAACATTATAAAATTTTTAGGTGAATAATTTACGATAATTTTTAATAGGTTAGATAATTAGAACCACACAACAAAAGATAAATGCTTTCTAATTGTTGGTTGAAGTTGTAGGTTCTAGATCTCCAATTTAAGGGATTCTATTCTCGAAGGGAAGTTATAAAATGGTTTAATTGTTTGATGTACAAAATATATTGAAAAAAATGTTATTTGTTTAATGTTTGTTCTATATACCTTAAAGAATCTTCATTCAAATCCGACTGAACCGCTAGTCATTAAGGTTATATACATAAGTAAATGAGGAGGATTCCTAAATTCGCAACATAATGAAAATAAACACGGCATTAAAAATTAATTACAAAATACGAAAAAAAATTCTGACTGAGAGTTTTCTTGTACCTTAAAATCTGGATATAAGTGTATTTTATCCCATTGACGCGAGTTTTTGAATAAATTCATAACTGAAATTGTCATTTCAGTAAATTTTTTTTGTCCGATATGTCCGGTATTTATTTTGTGATGATCATTTTTGATTGGCGGGGATGTCTAAACTTCTCCAGCGTAACCACCAAAAAATTAATATCATATGACTTTTTGGCCGGAATCATGAAATTAACTGTGACGTTTTGGAATTAAGAATTAAAAGTGGCGAAATGACAAATAATGGTAAAAAATAGAATTTTCATACCCGAAAATATTGAAATACTTATAAAATTTCTATGATCATATGACAGTAATTTTTTGGTGGTTATGCTGAAAATCGTCTAAAGTAGAATTAATCATATGAATATGTTAAATTATTTATCACCCGTATCACATTTCACCACTTTCACCACTTTTAGTTTTTATTAAGTATTTTAAAAACTGAATTTTTTTGGTAACAAAATCCTATTTATCAGACTTTTTATTCATCACTTGATTAATTTCTTAATGCTATAATGCTGGCAAAAACTACTTTTCTTTAAATAAATCCTAAAATAGAAATATTTGTAATAAAAATAATCCAAATCTATATAAATTAAGTTACAAAAGTTCAATTAAAAGAATGATTATCATTTTGTAACATTAAATCAGAAAATAAAATTAAAATTCTTATTTACACAATATTATACATTTAAATCATTATCTAATAATATTTGCATTTACTATAATCAAAATTTTAAATGTTTAGATAAAGAAAAAGATATAATATTTACATATAAGCATACTTTTTACTACAAATATTTTTCAAAAAAAAATAATAAATGTAATTATTATTTAAAATTTTATAAAAAGATATAGTTGAACTAAAATTAAGTTGAGTTGAGTTTAAAATTTATATAATTTAAATAAAGCCAAGTTAAAAGATTTTATAATATAAATTTAAATCAACTTGACTTAAAAAAAGAGTCAAATAGAGTCAATCTTTAAACTTGACTTGATTTGATTCATTTAGAATTCTAGTAAAATTTATAGTATATCAACTAACTCTAAATCTGATCTATATAAAAAATATGTTAGTAGTTATTATATGACTTAGTATTTTAATAGATTTCAAAATAAGGTTTAATAATTTTATCTTAAACTCAATTTTAAAAATAAACTTTATATATATATATATATATTAAATATTATATTTTGAATTTAGATTTTAAATTAAATTTAATATATACATACCTATAAGATTAGACTTAAAAATTAAATTTAACATATATTCTAAAACTTTGATATCTTGATATTATTTTTTATTATAATATTTTTCTAAAGAATTAGCTTTAAAATAATTTATATTAAAAAAGAATATATATTAGAAAGAGTTATAGATTTTTTAAAAAAATCTATTAACTATTAAGTTTTAATTTCTATAAGATTAAACTTAACCTATATATATTCAGAGATTATACTTTTTTTTTTAAAAGATTATATTTTTTTTTATTCTAATATTTTTTGAAAGAATTAGCTTTAAAATAATTTCCTATATATTATTAAATAATGGTATATTAAAATAGAATTTATAGATTTTTAATAAGAATTTATTAACTATTAAATATGATACTGTAACTAGTTGTAACTATATGATGCTTATTTATTACTAGTTGCAACTAGTTACAGCATTATTTTTATTAATTACTAAGTTTAATTTTTATGAATAAATTTGCTAAATAAAATCTAAAGATTTTATAAGTTATCTAAATAATAAAAGATAAAATTTAGCAAAATTATATTAAAATCATATTAAAAAAATTCTGAGAAATTTAAAAATGTAAAACTATATCAAAATCTTAATATAAAATTAATTTAAATATTTTGCTAAATCTAAAATAAGTTTAGATAAGTAATCTTATTTGTAAAATTAGACTTAATATATGTATATCCAAAAGGTTAAATTTTTTTGAGAGGTTAACCCTTTTTATAAAAAATTACCTTTAAAATTAATTCTAGGATATTACAAAATATTAATATGCAATTTAGATTATAAAGACATTGAAAATATTTTAGAATTTCATATTTTTCATATTTTTAATGTTTTTTTAATGGTAACCTGTATAATATTAATTTTTAGATATATTAAAAGAAATTAAATTAAACTTTAAAGGCTAAATAAATGGTGTATTTCTTGATAACTGAAAGTTTTAAAAGATAGTAAATAGCATATCAAAGATATTAATTAACAGGAACTAAGTTTGAGTTAATTTAAAATCTAGAATTAATATTTGTGATGTATAGAATAAAGTTGCTTAAAGTTATAATTGGATTACTTTTAATTATTTTGGATTTTTGTTTTAAAAGTCTTTTTTTTGTTCTATTAACTGTTAAAGTTACAAATTAAAAGATTTTAAAATTTAAAGTTATTTAGATTTAATTTTCTTTATTAACTTATTTTATTTATTATTTTAAATTGATAGAAGAAGTTAATAAATAAAAACAATAAAAATCTGCTTTAAGCTAACTATAAGAGATAAGACAACTATATTAATAATAATCTTATATTTTTAAATATATATATATATATATATATATTTATTTCTTAAATATTTTTTTAATTTTATTAAATACATTAGTTAAAAAAATAAAAAGAAAATTTGTATTTTACGCATCCTGCACAAATGCACCTATGCATATGTTTTATCCACATATAGTAAATTATTAAATATGAATTTTACATGGGTGTGTAATATACATCCTATGCGTAGTTTTTTTGATGCGCAGTCCATATGATTATGTGATTATGTACACAATCATTTAAATAATAAATCAATTGTTTAACTAATTGTACCCATGCTTCTTTTCTTTCTATCTCTCTTCTTTTTATTCTCTCTTTTCTATTTTTTTTTATAAATCTTATTGTTGAATATCCTTAAAATGAGTGATTCAGAATCACTTTCAAATGATAATTCAGATAATGAAAATTTTTCTAATGATTTTATCAAAAATATTCTAGATGATAGTGAAAGTAAGCATCTAAAAGGAAGACCGCCAGATACTGCAAGGTTCAAAGGACCTTTAGAAACTTCTAATAATGTTAACAAAACTCACAAATGTGATTATGCAATGAAGTGGACATTAATCATACTACATGTTCAATGAATAAGAATGATGATTAGTATTTAGAATATTTAATTAATATGGCTCAAATTTCAGTAGCAATTTGAGCCCAACGCCCTTCGGTCGTTGGGAATGCAAAAACTAATTTTCATTTTATCAACACTCGAGAAATGCTATTTGCTATTTGCTTATTAGACAAATTTGGTAATAAAAGTTTATTATTTGCGAAACATTTTATTTAATTTTATTGTAATATAATTTAAATATAGGGGTGCGCAAAAAAAATCAAAATGCATTGCTTAAATTTTAATAAAATTTTTAAAAGTTTATACAACGCGTAAAAATATTGTATTTTAAAATTTTACATGTATTTTACGCACCCTTGCATTTTGCGCAGGTGCGTAAAAAATAAAAACCCTTAATTTACTATTAAAGACTAAATTTTATTTAGAATAATAAATTTTAACGTAACGCAATCAGATTTTAATTTATGTTTCTTTGTTTCCTTATTTCAATTAATAATAAAATATCGTACCACGGATAAAAAGTGTTCTAAAGAATAAGAAAAAAAAAAAGTAATGGAGTTGCCGGTCTGTTTCCTACTACAGTTCTCCCAATATGCTCACGTCGTAAAACGCATCGAAATATTATCAATCAAAAATACAAAAAGAATTTAAATTAAAATGCATAAAAATCTTAAAGAATGTGTGATATTCTTTGCTCTTCAAACCATTTACATAATATTTATATATATGTAACTTTTTTTTATTCGATAGTAAATGAATTCTAAATTTTAAATATTATCTACGGACCAGAAATTTTCTTAATAGGGAAATAATAAACGTAATACATCAGCCAACAATTTGTTTATCTGTTGTATCAAATTCTATGCTCTAAATAAGTTTTCGCTATATCTATTCCACATCCATATGAAGAACGTTTGTCATTGACAGTTGATTGTAATTACAAAGAATCTATTTTGATCAAACGAACCCTCAATTTTTTTTTTTCAATTGAATGCCTATTTTTGGCAGAATTTATTGTAAATCAATCCATTAATAATAATATTATAGAAAACTTTACGGAATTTGATTTTTTTTTTTTGATAAAAACAGTAAATTAAGTCCAAACCTTTTGTTTGTGTTATATAAGTGTAACCGACAAACCAGCTTTTTTTTTATAATCATTCCGACAGATTAAAGAGTTGTTAAAGGATTCTTTGTGCAAAATTTAAGTCAATGTTACATTTAATTAATCAAATTATTATTTTTATGACAAACAATAAAATATTTTTCATTATAAAAGAACTCTGAAAAACCCTTTCATCGAAAAAAAAAGTATTCGATTTATAAAAAGATAAAAATTTCATCAAAAAAAAATTACAAAAAAGTAGCCCTGTAAACCCTTTCAAAATTCACAAAATTTTCAAATTTTGCGCGTTCAATAAAATGACACACAATCACAATAATAAACCTTCGCAGAAGGTCAAAAGTAAAATTGTAAAAAGTAGAAATGTTATAATTATATGTACCATTGACTTTGTCATTTTGGTTACATTCGTAAATTCTACCCGCTGCTGTACGAGAGGAAGAGTATCTGGGAAGAAGAGTAATATTCTCCGTAAAGAAATTGGAGTATACCCGGATACTGCTGGTCAGGATACAGCAGGACAAGAAGAAGAGTTTCCGGATACTGTTGAGTATCTGGATATTGCTGGGCAAGAGAAGCGCCAGGATACTGCTGGGCCATAGGTTGTGCCCAGGCCGGTTTATGATGATCTGGACTAGAGGAGTATTCGGCTAACTGCTAGGCAAGAGGAGTAGAGCACCTTTCAGCAAATGACGATTATCTTTGGATCTTCCCCGAATCACATTTCATTTTATACCTTATTGGCAACACATTTAGAAAATTTTTTCTTATTTTTACTAATTTGTTTTTAATAAATAATAAAAAATAATAAAATAAAATATATTAAAAATAATATTTAATGCCTTTGTAAAGGATATAGAAATTATGAACTTTTTAAAAATTTTAAATAAATCGAAAAATTCATGATTGAAATTTTTTATTGATAATTTTTTTTTTTCGATGGGATTTTTAAATATATAGGTACCATCGAACCTAAGTGTTTTGCCCACAAACCTTTATTTCGCAGATTATAATTATTATGATAAAAAATTTTTTTAAATTTTTTTTTATATAGATTTAGGATTTTATCTCATGAAATTCATAGTAATTAATTCTTTGTACAGAATAATTGGAAATTATTGTCCGAAACGTAAGCGTAGTTAGACCTGAAAGTATGTAGTATTGTATTACGGTTGATCAAATATCAACTATTCGGACGCTTCGGACGCTTCAACGGTTCCCGTT